TGAAAAGTGAAATACAGGAAGGTGCACAGGGAACCAACAGTGATGGTAAGAAAACTGGGACTCAAATCAATGGTTTGGAGCAAAAGGAAGAAATAAACATTCAACCAGAACAGAATTAAAAAACAATAATTCAAAAAAAAAGGTGAGGAGAGGCTTAGGAACTTTCAGGGCAACTTTAAATGTTCCAACATCAGAATCATAGGGGTGCCAGAAGGAGAAGAGGAAGAGCAAGAAGTTGAACACTTATTTGAAAAAATAATGAAGGAGATCTTCCCCAATCTGGCAAAGGAAATAGACTTCCAGGAAGTCCAGGAAGCTCAGAGAGTCCCAAAGAAGTTGGACCCAAGGAGGCATACACCAAGCACATCATAATTACATTAGCCAAGATTAAAATGAAGGAGAGAATTCTAGAAGCAGCAAGAGATAAGGGGACAGTAACCTACAAAGGAGTTCCCACCAAACTGTCAGCTGATTTCTCAAAAGAGACCTTGCAGGCAAGAAGGGGCTGGAAAGAAGTATTCCAAGTCATGAAAGGAAAGGACCTACATCCAATAGTACTCTATCCAGCAAAGCAATCATTTAGAATGGAAGGGCAAATAAAGTGCTTCTCAGAAAGGTCAAATTAAAGGAGTTCATCATCACCAAGCCCTTATTATATGAAATATTAAGGGGACTTATCTATGAAAAAGAAGATAAAAAATATGAGCAGTTTCCCTGGCTGGCATAGCTCAGTGGATTGAGCACTGGCCTGCAAACCAAAGGGTTGCTGGTTCGATTCCCACTCAGGGCACATGCCTGGGTTGCGGGCCAGGTCCCCAGTGGGGGCCACATGAGAAGCAACCACACATTCATGTTTCTCTCTCTCTCTCTCTCTCTCTCTCTCTCTTTCTCCCTCCCTTCCCCTCTCTAAAAATAAATAAATAAAATCTTAAAAAATACGAGCAGTAAAATGTCAACAAACTTACAACTATCAATAACTGAACTTAAAAAAAACAAAAACAAATGAGGCAAACAACTAGAACAGGAACAGAATCACAGAAATGGAGATCACATGGAAGGTTATCAGTGGGAAGGGGGAGGAGAGAGAATGGAGGAAAAGGTACAGGGAATAAGAAGCATAAATGATCTACAAAACAGACAGGAGGAGGTTAAGAATAGTATAGGAAATGTGGAAGTCAAAAAACTTATATGTATGACCCATGGACATGAACTAAAGTGGGGAATGCTGGTGGGAGGGGAGGTGCAGGGCATAAATGAATAAGGGCGGATGGGACAACACTAATAGCATGATCAATAAAATATATATTTTTAAAAAAGAATACAAAAAATATAGTATAAGCAGCCTCAGACAATTTCAAGAAGTTCAATATTCCCCTCATAGGGGTGCCAGAAGGAGAAGAGAAAAAGCAAAAATTGGAAATCTACTTGAAAAAGTAATGAAAGAAAATTTCCCTAATTTGGTGAAGGAAATAGGTATTCAAATCCAGTAAGCATGGAGAGTCCCAAACAAGATGGATGCAAAGAGGCCCACTCTAAGAGACATCATAATTAAAATGCCTAAGGTTAAAGATGAAGAGAGGGTCTTAAAGGTATCAAGAAAGAACAAGTTAGAACTCTACCTACAGGAGAGTTCCCATAAGACTGTCAGCTGATTTCTCAAAAGAGACTTTGCATGTTAGAAGGGACTGGCAAGAAATGTTCAAAGTCATGGAAAGTAGGGACCTACAGCCAAGATTTCTCTACAAAACTACCATTTCCAGTTAAAGGGCAGATGAAGAGTTTCCCAGACAAGAAAAACTAAAGGTGTTCATTATCACCAAACCATTATTATAGGAAATGTTAAAGGGACTTATTTAAGAAAAAGTAGATCAATACTATGAACAATAAAATAGCAAAAAATACAAATGTATCAACAATTGAATTTAAAAAACAAAGCAACCAAGAAGAACAGAGACAGAATCATGGACACAGAGAGCCTTTTGTTGGTTGCCAGATGGGAGGGGGTGTGGAAAAATTGGTGAAGAGGTGATAGGATTAAGTACAAGTAGGTAGTTGTAGAGTAGCCATGGAGCTGTAAAGCACAGTATAGGAAATGGCATAGCCAAAAAGAGCTTATATGAACAATGGTGTGGGGATTGCCTGAGAGAGTGGGGAATGCTGGGTGGAGAGGGGGCAAAGGGGGAAAAATCAGGACAACTGTAATAGCATAATCAATAAAATATAATTTTTAAAAATGATGCCAATAGTAGTTACATGAAAAGCAAAATGTGTTTAAGGGAGTAAAAATAATCATGACACAGTACACAATTCAGCTGTGAATAATGTTTATATATTATAATAATGTAAGTGTTAAATATTTATTTAACAAAATTAAATTATGATATAGTGATATGAGAGACATGGGAGGTATGTGTGACAGAGAAAGAGAGAGAGAGTCTTGTTTTTATTAATGTGGAGAAATGGCCAAATTATACAAAATTGAAAAAACCAAGGCGTTATAGTATATACTATTAGATAAAAACAGAACTTATACTATTTAGAAACATAGAATGCATCAGCAGAAGAAACATCTAAAGAGTTGAATGTGTTTGCCTCTTGAGCATGGGAATAAAGAATATGTAGAAAACAGCTATTTTCAATTTATAATCCCTACAGAAAATGTTTTTTAAACAATGTACATGTATGTACATAATATGCAAACTTATTGTATAACTGACATTAACATTTAGCAATTAACATTTTAGTGCTAACATTTGATATTAAAAAGAAATGGTTAAGGATCACCTAAAAAATAAATAAACCAAAACAAAAGGAACAACAAAAAAACCCCCAATAAACCATTTAGTGTAAAATATTTAACAAATAAGAAAGAAAAGGGGTTTTCCACACAGTCTCTACTCCAAATCTATTATATTATATTTAATGATAAATCTTTAAAAGGATTTCAGTTAAAGTCAAGAACAAAACAAGTATACTCAGTTATAGCAGCTTCTATGTGACTCCTCATTAGCTTAGTATGACCAGAAGAACTGGAAAGGAAAAAAAAATAACCCAAACTATCATTATTTGCAGACCAGAATTGTCTAAAGGAAATACAAAACAAGCCAAAAATGTGAGTCATACATGCTTAAATTTTCCAGTAACCACATAAAAATGTATTCTAATTATTTATTTAAACCAATATATCTAAAATATTATTATTTTAGCATGTAATCAGTATAAAATTATTAGTGGCAGATTTTACTTTTATTTCCAATTTAGTCCTCCAACATTTGGTGTGTATTTTATACTTCTCTTCATATCCCAGCTAGAACCAGTGGTCAATGTTCAGCGACTACTGTCCTGAATAGCTAAGTATATAAATGATATAATTATCTACATAGAAAATATGAGAATCTGTAGCTAAAATGTTTTAAAAATAATAGTGAAATGAAGCAATGTTTCTAAATAAGTTATCAATACACAAAGACCAACAATATTTCTATATAATACATGCAAAATATAAAAGTGTATTTTTATATAAAATATTACACTTACAATAGCAATCTAACTATAAGATACCCCACAACAAATGACCAAATGTACAAGTTTTATGGACAAAACTTGATTGCGAGACCAGTCAGCCAACCTGCTAGGGCTTGACTGTGCAACCTTCCTCATCCCACCATGTGCCCTGTGACTCCTCCAGTTGTCCTCCTACTTGGACTCAGACATCCACACCCCTCAAAGTATCTCAGGCTTCCACAGTTTGGGCCAGTCTGCCCTTCACCAGGATGGCCTCTGGAATCCAATAGATCCCCCACACCCTTACTACCTTTCCTGCTCTAACTCATCCCCTTACACAGATTCACCCCACTCAGGTTCTAAATCCCTGTGAGGAAAATTTTGCACCCCCCATCCAGCCTCATCCCCATACATGCATGCCTACGTATTTATCTTGTTCTGCACCATCTGATGAGTCATTTTAAGACTCTATTGTTAAGAAAGGGAAAAGGAAAAGGAGATTGGGAATAAAGGAAAACAGGAGGTGAAGAAAAACATTTTATATGATTCTTTATAATTTTTATTTACTTCAAAGGGACCATTAGGAAATAATTTTTATGCTAACTTATAAGGCCTAAAAAATTCTTGAAATTTCACTTCAATCTGTTATTTCTTAAATTTAAGTAAAATTAAATTTAGTATTTTAAAAGCATCATCTCTGGTATGATTGATTCCTTTCTGCAAGTGTGTGTATGTGTTCATGTTTTATGTTTTTTGTCTATATATTCTTATTTAAAGAAAAACAATTTAAAGCTTGTCTTGGCATATTCAAACTGCCAGCATCACTACCCTTGCCCTTTGAGGTCATTATTAAGTGACATAAAGGTTACTTGAACACAAACACTTCAACACCAGAACAGCTGATTTGATAATGGAGACATTCCTAAGTGACTAATGGGCAGGTAGCATTTGCAGTATGGAGACAGGACACTGGAGAAAGGAATGGTTCATGTCCTGGGCAGGACAGAGTGGGATGGTGTGAGGTTTTTATTATGCTACTCAGAACAGTAAACAATTCAAAACTCATGAATTGTTTATTTGTAGAATTTTTCATTCAATATTTTCAGACTGCAGTTGATTACAGGTAATTGAAACCATGGAAAGCAAAACCATGGGTAAGGGATTATATATATACATAATCATCCCTCTCTTTATCTTTCCATCCTGCCACTTAATGTTTGAAGTCATAGGAAGTTTTTGTGTCTTTAAATATTGAAATAAAATGTAAAATAATCAAATTATAGCTACCTACAGGAAAATAACAATGAACAAAAAAATTCTCCATAGGCTTTTCAATGTTTTCTCATTGATGTTTATGATTTGAAAAAGAGAATTAGTTTAAAATATATTTATTGGATTACTTTTAGGTTGAAAGACTTTTGGTTTAAGATTTCAAAACCACTATGTCTAAGAGAAATAAAGATTTGTAAAGAAATCCAATATATTATATGTACTTGTTCAGTTGGATTTTCCCATTTAATAATTACACATTGGTTTCAGTATATGAGTTTTGAGGGTCTCTTTATGGTGCTGTGTGCAAGAAACATATTTACAAAAACTGCCACATTATTTACATATTACTGAGTAACTATCAATATTAATAGAATATTATGCAATAAGTGAATAGGCTTGAAATAGAAAACTGTGAAACGGAATGTTTTCTTAGGATAATTTGACTATTGCACTCTGGCCCTGGCTGAGCAATAGATACAAATTCAGGTAAGATCTAATTAGTCAACGGAAGAGAATAGAGAACAAAAGGGGTGGACTGAATGAGTCAGATTGGCGCTGAAGGTTACCATGACCTTTCCTTAACAAGGCACAGTAAAGGCCTTTGGCCCAAAAGTCCACACCAGTTTTTTGAGCAATAATAAGTTTCATGACTTGAAGTTTCTTACTCCTTGTACAGAACATATTGAGGATATATGCTTGGGCAGGGGATAAAAACAGTATGAACCCAGGAAGAGAAGACAGACTTTTCAGAAACTAAAAAGAAGAGGAGCTGACACAGAACCTGGGTTCAGGTGATTGTTCAAAGGCGCTTTCCAAAACCTTCTTTGATGAACTCTGTACTTGCTGTTTGTCCCTGTATTTTCATTAAATTCTCACAAATGAAGCAAGTGTACCAAAAGGAGCATGCCTTTCTTCTCACAGCATCTGCTAGAGAATTGCCTCATAAATTCTGAGAAGAAGGCCTGAGAGGCTAATACAGAGAAAAATGTACTTCAGTTCAGTATCATGAATTATACATTCAAAATGACTTATTTTTATTTACATGGAAGCTGCAAATGTGTTTCTCTAATTGGAGTTGTGGCTCCGTCCACAGTCCTGTTCCTCCTTGTTTATACATTTAAGTTGTGCTTTCTGTTCTTGGAGATTTTTATTTGTTCAAAATATTTTTCCTGGCATTTCACAAATCCGAAACAAATTGAAGAAACAGGGCACGTCATTCCAGTTTTGCCTAGGATTTGAAGAGTCTCTGATAGTGACGCAGTCCTCCACTGTAGCTAAGTTGTTGGGCTCCCCTACATCCCAGAAGCTGAAAAGAAAAAAAAAAAATGGGAAACTTTAAATCCCAGCTACAAGAGGTAAAGTAACCTAATATACTAGGCAAGTTACTTGTGTTATTTAACTTCACAACAATTTTGTAAGGCAGGTATTACAATCTCTATTTTTTTAAAATTGACTTTATTGGGGTGACATTAGTTAATAAAATTATATAGGTTTCAGTTATACAATTTTATAATACATCATCTGTCTATTGTATTGTGAATTTACCACCCCAAGTCAAGTCCCCTTCATCACATGTATCCTTCCTGTACCCTTTTCTACTGCCCCATGCCCTCTTCCCTCAGGCAATCACCATGCTGTTGTCTGTGTTTGTGAGTCTTTCTTCTTTACTTTGCTTAACACTCTCACCCTTCTCACCCTTTTATTGATGAAGAAAAGGGATCTTGGAAAAGCTAAACCCTTTGTCTAAGTCGTACAGTTTGTGAGTAGTGAAGCCGTGCTGGATCTTTCTGCCTTTCCATTCTGTCATGCACTCTCAAAGACTTAGAGCCCCAAGGAGAAGTTATGGGAATGACTGATGTCCTGGTGGATTTGTTTTATTTACACTCGTGTGTCATGAGCATGTGCGCTGTACTCTCAGAACTGACCGAAGCCCCCGGCCTTTAGTTTCCTGAATTGTTAAGTGAAGTCATTCATATTGATGTATCTCAGAAAGATGTAATTTAGGTTAAATGAGACCGTGAATGAAATTAGAACTTTGAAAATTCCAGAATGCTGTGCCCTAATGCTGTAAAGCCATTATTAAGCCATTATCAATGGGGTTCCCTTTTATACCCCCTAAGAATCTTCTATCTTTCTAAAAATCATGATTTTTGTCTCAGTTTTTAGAGTTTTGAGGCTTAAGGCTCTGAATTTCATACTTTGCTCCTGCTGCATTCCAAAGTATTAGTATTTGATTCTGCTCCTCTGTTCATAGTCACCTACTTCCCTTCATATTTGAGATGGTCTCAGAAAATGAGCAATAGGATGGACCTGAATATATCTCATGGAACAGAAGGCGGTTGTGAGAACTCCCATCAACAGTGGGCTAATTTTAGGGTTTGGGATAGTTTTAAATTCTCCTATAAGAAGGGAATTACCTTAGAGACTTCATGAAAGGTGTGCCATCTACCCATTTCCACTGACCATCAGTCACCTGGTCTGTTAGTCCAATGTAAAACTCTCTTTTTTTAGGTTTCTCATGGAAAAGGAATTCCTAAGGAAGATACACAGTCAAAAAAATAGGAGATCAGTTATTTTAATTCTAAACAAGTATTGAAGGTAATTGTTACTTAAAGAGATAAAGTAGGATCTGGACTAAAGATGATAGATACATAGTCCTAAAATATCAACATCATGGGGGTTTATCTTCTGATTTTTTAATTGGTGGTAAAAATATATACAACATAAAATTAAATGAACAAAAAAGAGCCTTAAACAAATAAGTTTCTCAATTGTTCACTCAAAGTTTATCTACTGTTATTTGTAGCAAAACCAACTGCATAGATTAGTACAAAAACATTACTAATCACAGCTTAAAGCTAATGGGCATTATTTGCCTTTTTTCTCTCAAATACATTTATAAGCATAATGGGCATTTTAAAATGAACTCCTAACCTTGTTTTTTTCTGCTTTACAATAAAGGAACTAAACATGGAAATTTCTTACTTTCTTGGACTCTTGTAGAAATGAAAATACATTAGAGTAGGTATTGACTTACAGAAATAGTAAGAAGAGCATGCATTTCAATACATTCATTTAAAAATATTCATTGTGGTTCAAGCACTGCACACATATGTGGAGGAAGGGATAGATTATGTGCAGAGTGCTGCATTGACGCTGGGGGAGGCTATCCTTCAACTACCTGCTCCTCCTGTGTGTTGATAACCACCAGATGACCTCCCATGTTTGAGCAGTTTTTTACACTTGCTGACCAGGTCATTGTGTTTGTAGAAAAAAAGTAGCAACTAGATTGAAAATGTACCCATCTTGATGGACAGCAATTCTTGACTGAACCTAAGAGAAGAGAAGTTTCCATGAATGTCCCATATGAACTGAGTGAGAAAATAGAAAGTTTCATGTGTCCCAATGAAGTCCATCATTTATAGTCATAAGTCTTGAAACCCCTTGTTCATACCTCCCCATCCCCATCTTACTATTTAAGACTTTAGATAATTCTTATCTCAGTAAACACAAAGAGCAATATTCTTGTCTTTTGAGCATACCCCTTATTTTCTGGGTATATCTCAATACTAGCTATCTCAATTATGCTATTGATATAACCCTATTAACTGCTCTTAGACTGCCAAGGTCAGAGAAAGTTATGCATTTTATCTAAGTTAATTCCAAGCAACCATCTCTCATGTTGCCCAAGTAACGTATTCTCAGCAAAATCTCCAAGCTGGTTGTACAGATGACTACATTTCTTAGACTAAAAATAAATAGTTCAGACTCTCTCAATTTGATGGTGAGGAAATTATAGCGCAAAGAAAGAAGTCATTTTCTAGTGTTGCATGGCATTTTTCTAAGACTTGGAACAGTGCTATACATAAAAGCATACCAAGTATATTTCTGAGGTATTTCCAAGTTCCCTATTCTATCTACTTTTTCTGTACTTCATTTTGGAAGCAAGTGATGAATTTTAAAAAATAGTCTACTCCAGAGCATAACACCATCCACTTCTAGATTTACTGTCCAGATATATACCTCAAATTTATTCTAAAAGTGTGCTGTAATATCCCCAAGATTTCCAACTCCAATGCTAATTTCATTTCCTGTCTTCCTACCCAACTTCTCATCTTTCTATTACAGTACAGGCAAGATTTTACAGTTTGTTTTTGAAAAACAGGGCTTACTCCAACTACTTTATTTATCCCCAAATCAACCTGAAAAATCAAAAATATTGCTAAGTAAATTTTGATGTTCCAATTTAAGGAATGTTTTACCTGATCCATTATTGTAGCAGGAAAATTCCAAGAACTCCTCATGTGGCTGGACCCTTTTCTCAACACAGAGTTGAAAGATGTGATATGTCACTGTAAGGACAGGGACACAGTTCATGTTCATTACTCTTGGTAAAATAAATTTGATCATTTTTGTATTTATAAGAAAAGAGCCAACAACTATCGTATTTTCTTACTATCTATTTTTCTTTCTGCATGGAAAGGCACTGAGATTTACTGAAAGAAAGAAGAGGGAATTTACATTTTATGGTTTTCCTAATTTATAAAAGTGAACATACTTTATTTTAGGCCCAAAGGCCCAGAGAAAACAAGCATGCTAGCATTCTCTCTTATGCCAAGTCTAACCCTCTCTACCCTTCCTTCCAAAAAGTGATTTGTCATGTCTGTGGCTAGGACCTCATAGAAAGAGTTACACTAATCAATAGCAGGGGACAATGGGAAGGACTCAAGGCCACCATGGATATGAAAATTGTCTATCATGAAAAATGCATCAGAGGTTACTGAAATTTGGTAACAGTTCTATACTGATTGGTGTTTCTGGCTTGAGGAATAACCTTGAGATAAATAGGGGTAAAAGTAGAATATAAATATTCTTTATGGGAGAAGAGAACCTATGGGCAGCAAGAAAGAATTTACTCCTAATATTCACCAGGGAGATTAAATTTGACCTTCAGAACTCACCAACACATCTGGTGATGAAACAGGCACTGAGGAGTAGGATGGAGATCCCAGCAACAGTCCACAACATGACTGGGGAAGAGAAGCATCCTCTCTCTGTAGAAAAACATAAACATGGTCAATCTTTCCTAAGCAAGAGTATTAAGAAATTCTAATTTAACCTTACATATTTCCTTCCTCTTGCATTGTCTATGTTGAGTAATTCTCAAACTTCAGTATATATCAGAATTATTTGGAGGTCTTGTTAAAACATAGGTTGTGGGGTCTCATCTCCAGAGTTAAGGACTCAGTTAGTGTTGGTATAGAACCAAAAAGTTCCCAGGAGCAGCTTCTGCTGCTGGTCTGGGGACTACACTGTCAGAACAATGTAGAACAATAGAGTAATACATTACTAATTTTAAGACTGACTGATGAAGTTGGACAGATGTGCCTAGTTTTTCTTTCTTAAGTCACTCCCATTTTCCCCTTCTTTCCCTATCTTTCTCCCTTCCTCCCTCTCATGTTCTCTGTTATTCTTGTCTCTCTGTTACTCTCCTCTTTTCATACTTCATTTCCTAAAGGCCTTTGTAAATCAATCATATAAAACTTTGAATTTATCTAGTAGTTCCTCTTTTCCTTCCCCACACACATTTACGGACAAGAAAAGTGAGTTCCAGAGAAGTGAAGTACCTTGCCCAGAGGGACACAGTGAGTCACAAAGAAGGTAGAAATAGAGTTGTGGTGATCCCTGAACTGAAGCCCAGTGATCTTTCCAGTATATCAGATACTCTTCTAACCATTCCTTTATTTTACTCAGTTTCATTCTCTGTCTCTCTTTACTTCATGATTTCTTATTGTCTTGTCCTTCAACATATTTATCACCTCTTCCAAAAAAAATCTATGAAAAAAAAAGAAAAATTACAAATTTTACCTGTGCACTGTGATGCAGATGATTTGGGCAAACTCATTTTTTTTTTCTTTCTTTTTTTCTCTCTTCTTCTTCCTCTCTCCCTCTCCTCAGTTTCCAAGTCCAAGAGTGTTTTGATGGTAAGTTTCAAGGAAAAGGAATCTTGAGGAATGAACACTTTATCTGTATTTTAGGAAGTTCAACTCCAAGACATAAAAACATTAACTTGTTTGGTGGCTGTGTGTTCACGTCAGGATTTCCTTTCTTGTGTAAGGAGGACAAGGGAGTTTACCAGGCAACAAGTCAGTCTCCTCACTCCAGACAACAACAAAAGGGGAAATGATGAAATGGTACTACGTATCAACAGAAGTAGGCCAGCCATGAGAAAATATAAGTGGCTTCAAAAATATTGTTTTGTTTTGGTGGAAAAAATTGTTCTGGCTTCTTCCAGGCCTTACTCATCCCTCAGTATCCTCGATACCTGGGGGCCCACTTCTGCACCCCAATCTCACCTTTGGTCTTTGCTACCACACAGCTGTTGACTGAGGAGACAAACTCCACATCTTTGTAGCACTTAGCACAAAGCTGGGAGCATAGTGTAAGTATTTATTATGTAGCAATATGAGTTTCTTTTCATCTTTTATTCTTTTTTTTCATCCTTCATTTGCAGCCCCTGATAAGGGATTAATATCCAAAATATATAAGAACTCATACAACTCAATGCCAAACAAACAATCTAATTAAAAAGTGGGCAGAGAAGCTGAATAGACACTTCTCCCAATGAAATATGGCCAACAGATATATGAAATGATGCTGAACTTCATTAGCGATGAAAGACATGCAAATCGAAATTACAATGAGATATCACCTTACACCTATCAGAGTGGCTATTATCAACAAAGCAAGTAATTGCAAGTGTCAGAGAAGTTATGGAGAAAAAAGAACCCTCATTCACTGCTGGTGGGAATGTAAATTGCTATGGCTGCTATGAAAAACAGTATGGAAGTTCCTCCAAAAATTAAAAATAGAGGTACCATATGACATAGCAACCCCTCTTCTGGATTAAATTCGAAAACATTTATTTGCCAAGATATATGCACCATTATGTTCATTGCAGCATTATTCACAGTGGCCAAGCCATGGAAACAGCCAAAGTATCCCTATGTAGATGACTGAAAAAAGATGTGGTACATATATACAATGGAATACTACTCAGCCATAAGAAAAGATAAAATACTGCCATTTACAACATGGACAGATCTTGAGAACATCATGCTAAGTGAAATAAGTCAGACAGAAAAAGTCAAGAACCTTATGATTTCACTCTCATGTGGGATATAAAATTAAAAGCAACAAATGAACAAATAATAACAAAAACAAAAGAAAGCTCATAGACACAGACAACAGCATGGTGTTCACCAGAAGGAAAGGGGCTGGGGTAGTAAAGGGTAAAGGGGGTCAAATATGTGGCTTTGAAGGTTTGACTTTGGGTGGTAAATACACAGTTCGATATACAGATTATATATCACAGAATTGTACACTTGAAACCTATATGGTTTTATTAAACAATGTCACCCCAATAAATTTGATTAAAAATAAGTAAAACAATTTAGATTTGTGGATTTATATTCCTTTTTTTCAAAGTACTAACTACTAGGCTATTTTACAGCCAGGCGAACAGCCAGTCTGATGCGGTTTGACTACTTTGAAACTCAGCTCAATTTCTTGCATCACAACACAGCTTCTAAAGCCCAGTTTAACTCTGTTATTCAGGACTATTTGGGGATTTTAAAAATATAATCACTCACTACAAAGATAATTTTATTTTATTACTATTTTGCATTATACCTCAAATGGAAAGACTCATTTGGCCAATTGTGACCACAGAAGGGTTCAAATGAGTTTTGAAGTAACATTCTTTATTTGGTACTTGATATCATTTTTTAAACTATATTTTTATTGTTGATACTATTATTGATGTCCCCATTCTCCGACTTTTGCCCACCTTCACCCAGCCCCTACTCCTCTTCCCTCTGGCCATCACCATGCTGTTGTCTGTGTCTATGGGTTATATATATATGTTCTTTGGAATTTTTGTTTTATATTGTAGGCTACATTAGGAAAAATGAATTTATCAGAAGAAGCAATTTCAGCTAAACATTAGAATGCTTTTCTGGGAGGTTAGTAGATACAGAAATGTTTCATCTTCTTCCTTAAAAATACGTAAGAATAAGATCAAACTGGGTTCATTTGATATAAATTCACAAGTGTCAAGAGGCATTAGCTCTTTATATCCTGGTAATCCCCACGCCTAATGAATGACTCACAGACTTTCCGTGTGTTAGGAAATATTCTTGTTTTTAAAGGGACTTTTTATTGTTTCAATGCACTGGTCAATTTCCTGTGCATTCTCTATTCTACAGTTATATAGATTATTAAAGAATGTTAAAAAATTATATATATATATTATAAAATATAAACATGTTTAATATGTGTTGCGCGTGGGTCACCGGCCAGCAGTGACCACGGAACGCTGTGGATGGCTCGTCGAAACACACGCGAGAAAAAACAACACATGCACAGAGACAGACTAGTTTCTGTGGGGGAAGTAGGGACGGAATGGCCACCCCCCCTAGTGGGGGAGCGCGCTGATTTACCATCCATACCTGCTTTTATTAGGCTCATTTTGCATAATAATTCAGGTAAAGTACAGTACTCATTAGGGGGAAGTAAGGAACTATAGAAAACAAAGAACTCTGCCGGTCTATTGAGTTGGGGGTCAAAGAGCTGTAAGACTGAGGAACAAAATAACTTCCTCCTAAGACCCTTCTCATTCAACTGAGAGCATTCTAAACAAAGAAGGTTTCACAGTAATTTACATATTCTTTCTTAGGCCTGATCACCCTGGGGAATCCGCACTTCTCAGTACCGAGCTGTACCACCCTGTCATTGTTTCAGGCTTAGGTGGAGCAAGGGAACTAGGTAACCAAGAGATAAGGAGATTTTCTCCCAGACGATGAGAACTCAGACTTTGTCAAAGCCGAGGAGCGAGGGTCCATCACCCCCTTTTGCTGCAGCCCCCCAAGTCCTTCTTTTGGGGGGCCTCCCAAAGTGATCGTGCCTGTCTTAGGTCGTTCCCCCCGTGGGGAATCTTACCCGTCTTTGGCTAACCGACCAAGCTTTTGGGGGTTCAGTTATGAATAAAGCAGCAGAAGCAGCATTCCTGCCAGGAAGACAAGCTTTTGTCTCCTTGCTGGCTTACAATTCCAAGGGCGTTCCCTTAGCCTTAGCCTAGGCGGGGGTTTCAGCCTCTGATACCAGTCAGGGCTGTTCCCAACAAATGTGTATATTATCAGCAAGTGGCTTTTGACTAGTAAAAAGAGAGACATTATGCAATCCCTAGACTAGAGTTCAAATGAGACTGACTCAGCAGTGCAGCTGGTGCATTCTTCTTATGATCACTATGTTGCAATTTCTCACATGAAACAAACTCTTTTCAGCAAGATATTTTTAGATACTTCGCTTTTCTTTAATCCCTGCTTATTCATATTCTTTTAACAGCAGCAACAGCAAATTCTTCCTCTACCCAAGATGGTTTTTTCATAGGTTTTGTTGAACAAGATTTTGTAATTTTTCCACCTTATGTAGTTTTGATATTTCTGCTGTTAATCAATCCCTCTAAGATATGGGAAATTTCCATATAGAATTTATCTTAAAAAGCATAGCCTAGCTCTGGTCAGGTGGCTCAGTTGGTTGGAGCATTGTCCTATAGATCACACGGTTGTGGGTTCGATTCCCATTCAGGGCACATAACTAGGTTGCAGGATTGATTCCTGGTTCAGTCACATATGTGGCATCCAGTTGATGTTTCTCTCTCAAGTCGATGTTTCTCTTTCTCTCTCTTTCCCTTTTTCTCTCTCTCAAATCAATGAACATATTCTCAGGTGAGGGTTTAAAAAGGAGAGGTCTCATTTATATATTGATTCATAGGTATACCAAAAAAAAAATTTCTCTAATCTATGGTAGAATTGTGCCCATGATGGCCAAAATCTGTCTGCTTGATATTCTATAGAGAGATGAATTCTACATGAGTAAGTCATATTTCTTTCTAATTTTTCATCCTGTATACATTTTTGAAGTATATTATGAGAGGACTGAGAGGGGCTAGGTTTGAGGTCAGACTTAGATTTAAACTCAGTTTTGTCAGTGTTGACAAGGACAGAAGTTAGTGATAAACAGGGGAAAGAGGCTTTTCCTACCTTAATGACATTTAATTGAAAAGTAAAATTTGAAGGGACAAGTCTCAGTAAATGAAAGGGTCGGGAACAGTATCAAAACAGGTTATAGGAACTAACAGTAAATATTGGTTGCCTATTGATTGAGGGAGTTGGTGGCATATCCAACAATCAGAGATGCTGCCCCTTTTGGGGGTGCTTTGGGAGAACTTCATCAAGGCATTACATTTTCCAAGCGCAGATGGTTATAAAAAGAAGCAAGAAGAAAGGGAGTGCTTGATTTGGTTGTCACTGTAACAGGTGAAATCTTGAATAGTAAAGAAAGTGGGAAAGGCAGAGTAAAAATGATTTAATAATTAAAGTAAGGGATGGAGGACAGGTCAGGAGGTACAGAATTAATGGGGAATATTAGGAGTTTAGGAATTCATACCAGGGGCAAAAACCACGGAGATCCCAGGGTACATCTAGAGGATCTTGAGTGAGTCTGAGGGTTCTCAACTAGAAATAAGAGGATAAGAATGGTAAGGAAAGGGGTAAAAGAAGAATTATCACAGTCAGGCATTTCTGGTGAAAGTTCAGGCATGAGGTGTCAATTTCTTTACTCTTAAGACTGTCTATGTTCTTTTTAAGACCATCTACTTCTTGTCCTGGAGAAATGTCCACTTCTCATCCTGCAGGCCACTTTGTTAGGTAGAACAGACAAAGTCTCCTGGATGTAAATGGGGAAGCTGGTCTTTGTCTCCCTGGAGCATACTATGGAAGGAATCTTTAATGAGGTTAGAGTTATTCTGCAAGGAATTAATTAGTTCTTGACAATATTATTAAAGCTCTCCTCTTATAAGAGTTGGTGAATGAAGTCTTTCAGTCAAACTTTAGAGTTCTTCCTGCTATTCTTTCAAAAGAAGACAGTTTATATTTACAAAGTGGGGTGGAGCAAAGATTAAGAAGAACCAAAGAGAGAGCTTTGGGCCATGAGAGTCTGAATGCCCTACAAATAGTGGCCAAGTGAGTTTT